GCACAAAGGATGGGGAAAACATCTAAAAGAGGACAGCGGTGCTTGCCAGGTAAGTACAAGATCCGACAATTAAGTAATGAGACTGATTTTATTATTGCCAAGACAAAAATGCCATCTATGAAGCAAAGCATGGAATATAAAGAAGCAGCATCCTTCTATGATCTGGCAACTTTTCATTACTGCTCGACAAGCAGACAACAAACAAGCTTTTGTTGACCTAGTCAGAGGTGCATTGTTACGTAATTAGCAAGGAGCAAAAAGCTAACGTTAAATTCTGTTTAAAACTCAGAAAAAGCGCAACTGAAACAATTCAATTGATTCAAAATGTTTATGGGGATAATTGTTTATGTCATGCACAGATTTTCAGGTGGTATTCACTATTCAAAAGTGGCGTGGACGCCAAATTTTTGTTTGTAATGATGAACTCATTGCAAAAGTCATAGAACGAATACAAGATCATTGTTTTACTGTGAGGGTAATGGCAGATGAATCTGGTGTTAATAGAGAGACCATTCATAACATTTTAGTGCAAGATTTGTACTACACTAGTTGTCTGATGACCAAAAACATCAGGGGGTTGGGTTCCCAAGAGACATCATCAAAACAAGAATTTTTGGCCCAAAACAAGTGCGTGTTCTCAATCTTCCACCCTATTCCCCAGATTTGTCTCCCGGTGATTATTTTCTATTAACAAAATTAATGTTACGAATGAAAGGACGCTTCTTTAACGATATTGGTGACATCCAAAGGGCCGTAACATCGACTTTAAGGGCCATAACAACAGAAGAACAACAGAGGTCGTTCCAGTGATAGTTAGATCGTGCCACTTGCTGTATAAATGCACAAGGGGCTTACTTTGAATCAGATACAGGTTATATCTTCAACTGTTGATTGTGTTAATTTGTATAGAATTAGTCTCATTACTTAATTTTCGGACTTTGTATGTCAGGCATGACCATAGAGATCGCTGCTGCTTCTAGAGCACTAGAACCGGCAGCAGAACAAACAGCTATATATGTTTTTATAAGGTGCTAATCCTGTCATCCTTGTGAGATGCAATTTTTAACTATTTTGAAGCCTCACCCTGGCTCTTGCCAGGGGCCGCAATATAACCCGACCATAAATATGGTCTAATGGCTGAACGCGGTTCTTGGGACTTCTCCACGGTGATCCTCATCCCCAGAGTGGCACTTTGTGTCATCGGGTGTTTATCACTTGTGTGATGTCCTGGTGGGGTAAAAATCTACTACTAAACAGCTATCAGGTTAATTTATTTTTTTCAACATGAAGAAAATTATGCAGAAGATAATTAGGGACTGGATACTGAGAGAAAAAGATGGGAAGAACATGGTGTGAGCTAGTTCACTGATTCCTCCCCTCTTCTTTCTGCAGACCATCCTGAAAGGATGTATACTTAATGCCTACCTCTTGCCTCCAAGCTCTAGCACAACCGGTATGAGGTTCTCGGCTGCTGCTTTCATGACGATCTTGCCCACAGCGCTACTGCCAGTGAAAAACATGAGGTCAAACCTCTCTTTCAACAACGCTGTTGTTTCTGCGACACCTCCAGTGACCACTCTGAAGGAATCCTAGACAGAAAGAAGGATTAACATTGAGGTAGCAGTAACAGAAAAAAGCTGCAGTGTCTACATAAGTTCCAGAAAGCAATGACAAACTACTGGACGTAAATTTGTCCAGAAAAACCACACAAACCATACATCTACTGGGTTTGGTTCTGCAACGTCCGGTTAAGGATACGCAACTAACCTTAGTCTACATAAGTAAGCGACATTAATTAACTTACATTAATTAACTTATATTTATAACTAGAGAACGAAAGGAACGAATGAACGAAAGAAGGAACAAACATTATTTTCAAAGGTTGCAAATGGGCACGCAGGCCCGTCCTACACTCGGCCCTTCTAAGCGCTTATCTTTCAGACAATTGCATGTTGTCAGTAATGCATTCTATATTATTTAAAAAATAAACATAATGAAATAAAGCATAAGAGCAATAAACGTCTTTCCCAATGAGAGCATGGGATTTTAGGACCGTTTTTGTTAAAACAATCTGCATGTAGAATGCAGTTTTTCGTTTTTTGAAGCTCTACCCTGGCTTTTGCCGGGGACCCTAAATATGGCCTAACGTCAGAAAGGAGTTTCTGAGACCTCTCCACATGTGATCCTCATCCGCATGGTAGCACTTTGTGTCACTTGGTGTTTATCGCTTGTGTGATGTACTGGTGGGGTACAACGAGAGAGAGAGAGAGAGAGAGAGAGAGAGAGAGAGAGAGAGAGAGAGAGAGAGAGAGAGAGAGAGAGAGAGAGAGAGAGAAAGAGAGAGAGAAAGAGAGGACCGTTACTGTTCTAATTAAACGAGCTGTTTCTTGGACCGTTACTGTCGTCACAAGTACAGATGAATATCCTTCTACCCACAGCGCACAAAGCCCGGGCAGTAGAGTGGAGACGATGAGTTGCCCATGCTGCTTGATTCCTCTGTCGACCTGCTTTGTTTAATCCAAAGGAAAGGTAATCGACATAAACTAACTTCTAAATACAACTAGAAACATCATGGTCATCTTCATCTTGTTGTATCATGGATAAGTCACCTATCGCTAACAGCCTATGCCAAATTTCCGTGAAATTGTTTCGATATTATGGATGTGGTTTTACAGAAGAATGCTTAGAATACCTTGGACAGCCAAAAACAGCAACCAAGAGGTTTTGAAATAGGCGGGCGCCCGAAGACAACTTATCACAGACATCAGGTGACAGTCATCATTTTTCGGCCATGTTACGAGAAGAGGGAAAATAGAACATGTTGTGACCACTGGAAAGATCTGTGGAAGGAGGGATAGAGGAAGACAACGAGAGAAGATGCTTGACAGTCTTGTTGCGTGGCATAGAGGTGTGTCGGCACACGAACTAATACATGCTGCAGGAGATCGCAGATTATGGAGAGGCATGATCGCCCACGCCAGTCGGCAAGGCACCTGATGATGATGATTATGGATGAATCCAGTTCAGCACCTTCGGCCTCTCTCGTCATACTTCGTCCTATAGTTTTATCTTGGACGTCCTCATTGCCTCAGTCCAACTGTTAAATCATGCCAATGTGTGTTTGGTGATTATGTCAGTTTCCCCGGCAGGCTTTGCTGACTGTATCGCCATATCGTAACACATACACACACACACGCATGCGCGCGAACACACACACACACACACACACATATACATTTTGAAAATTAGTTTATTTGTATTTAAAATAATCCAATATACTAACATTTTGTAGGTATAATTTACCCCCCCCCCCCCCCCCCCCCCCCCCCCACCCCTCCACCAAAAAAAAAATATGTGTGTCTCAGAGCGTATTGTAAATATGCGTGTTTTTATATGTATGAGTGTGTTTTATAAATTAGTGTGTACGCATGTGTACGTGTATGTGCGTGTGTATGAACTGTGGGAGTGTAAGTGTATGCGTATGAGTATGAGTGTGTATGTGTATAAGCATGTTTGTATATTTCCTAATCTTCTCAATGTTTAATGGCTGTAAACTCTGACGAAAAGTTCTGGTTGTTCGTCCACTCCTAGATTTGGTCTTGATGCAGAACTTGAGTTTTGATTGCAAATCTATTTTACAAAGCTGGCTTATTTGTATGCAGACTGTTGGTTCTTCACCTCTCAGACTTTGAAAAAAAAAAAACATTTCTGGTAACCTCTTACCACATACCTGTTGAAGAACTTTGGGTCTATTCTATGTTGTCCAAAATGGAGCCCTAGAATCCACATACGGAGTATGTGTATTTGAAAGTATGTATATTTGAAAGTATGTATATTTGAAAGTATGTATATTTGAAAGTATCATCATCATCAGGTGCCTTGCCGACTGGCGTGGGCGATCATGCCTCTTCATAATCTGCGATCTCCTGCAGCATGTATCAGTTCGTGTGCCGACACATCTCTATGCCATGCAACAAGACTGTCAAGCATCATCTCTCGTTGTCTACCTCTATCTCTCCTTCCACATATCTTTCCAGGGGTCACAACATTTTATATTTTCCCTCTTCTCATAACATGGGCGAAAAATGATGACTGTCTCCTTCTGATGTCTGTGATAAGTTGTCTTTGGGCTCCCGCCTCTTTCAAAACCTCTTGGCTGCTCTTTTTGGCTGTCCAAGGTATTCTAAGCATTCTTCTGTAAAACCACATCTCTGAGGCCTCCAGGAATTGTTTGGCCTGCCTACCTATTGTCCAGGATTCACAGCCATATGTTAAAACTGGATGTATGTAGCAATCAAGAATTCTTTTTCTAACTCTCAATGACAAGGATATATTGCACAAGATGTTTTTCATTTTATAAAATGCAGTTTTGAAAGTATGGATATTTAAAAGTATCTATATTTGAAATTATGTATATTTGAAATTATGTATATTTGAAAGTATGTATATTTGAAAGTATGTATATTTGAAAGTATGTATATTTGAAAGTATGTATATTTGAAAGTATGTATATTTGAAAGTATGTATATTTGAAAGTGTGTATTTGCCATCCGGGCTTTTGTAGTATTTTTTTACTCATGCTATAAGAACATAACATGCTTTGTAGATAAAAATAGAATTAATGTATCCCGTGTGTGTTCTTGGGCTCTATTATACGGAAAACAAGAATAGACCCACTGCCTACCCAAAAGCATGTCGTGAGAGTCGACTAATTGGGAGCTTCCTTTGAAGTCGGAGTGCATCTGCCTGAGAGGCAAGGAACCAACAGTCTGCGCACAAATGTTTCAGAACTGTCAAACGGATGCACACGCAAAACCCAGGTTTTGAAACAGGACTGCAGTCCAGAAGTGGACGAACAACCAAAACTTTCCACTAGAGTTTACAGCTAGTGAACGCAAAGAAGACGAAGAATTAATGTAGGAAACATGAGTGTCTTCCTCATCATCAGGCCCTTGCCAAATGGCGTGGGCGATCATGCCTCTCCATAATCTGCGATCTCCTGCAGCATGTATCAGTTCGTGTGCCGACACATCTCCATGCCATGCAACAAGACTGTCAAGCATCTTCTCTCGTCTTCCTCTATCCCTTTTTCCACAGATCTTTCCAGTGGTCACAACATGTTCTATTTTCCCTCTTCTCATAACATGGCCGAAAAATGATGACTGTCTCCTTCTGATGTCTGTGATAAGTTGTCTTCGGGCTCCCGCCTTTTTCAAAACCTCTTGGTTGCTCTTTTTGGCTGTCCAAGGTATTCTAAGCATTCTTCTGTAAAACCACATGAATGTCTTACAAAACCGATTGCAAGACAGGCTTGAGTGCCCAATTTGTTACCTTTTTCGTCCTCCCAAAATGGGGTCCAAGAATACCATGTGGACTTGTTATGCATCGATAAATGCTAAATAATATTTGTAGCATACTAAGTAAAATGTGCATGTTGTTTTGTATCTACACTTACTGTATCCAGATATTTAGGAATAGTTTCTGCAAGAAATGTTGCAGTTGCTTCTGCCAGTTCAGATGGTTTTATGACAGCGCAGTTTCCTGCAATAAATGACGGGACAAGCTTCACAGTCAGTGGTAAAATTATAAGGCTTTTTTTTTAAAAATCAAACAACAAGTGTGCCAGACAAACTAACAAACAAACAAACAAAAGCAAACTTAATAAAAGCATGTAAAAAAATATGTTTTCTCCAGATTTGCAGTCAAAAAGGACACGCCGTTAGGGGTTGGGGGTCACTGTTTGTTTGTGAATCAAGAGGCTGTCAAGTTTTCTCAGATTGTCTGTCTCTGTCTCCACATAATGTTTCAGTTTTGCTCTTCCCATAACATTACCCAAAACAAAATGATGACTGTCTCTTTCTGATGTCTGTGAGCAAACCCCATTCAGACATATAAAACAGTTACAACAAGGCACCATACGGTTACACAATAACCTTTTGTTCACTCTGCCCGAGTCTGAGATATAAAATTATGGGATGTACCGTGTAACTGAATATTAGCCTATTCCGTGTGGGTTCCTGGAAATAAACCATCCACAAATGAAACAATTTATTGTTTTTAATTAAAGCTCCACCCTGGCTGGACCCTTCAAGTTACTCCACAACCGTCGTAGAGGGTCGTAATATAAACATTACGGTTGAACAGGATCTCTGGGACTTGCGTCTGGGGGATTCTCATCCGAATGGTGGCACCTTGTGTCACCGGGTATTAATATCCCGTTGCGCGGTTATAGTAAGGTTAAGTACCAGTCACTCAAGCGGCTTACAGTACCCTATTTTGGAGAAGAAGAAAATTTGACTTTTGTATGCACAACCGTTTAACAGATATGGCTTGTTTGTATGCAGACTTTTGGTTCCTTGCCTCTCAGGCAATGCATTCTGACTTTAAAGGAAGCACCCTTAATCAGTTGACTTTTACAGCATGCCTGCTTGTTAAGAGGCCAGTGGATCTATTCTTGTCTTTATCCACCACATTAAGACACAAGACCCATTAGGGGAATACCAGTTGTTAGAGGTTCGAAACTTCGTAGAGGTTAATTTTTAAATCAAGTTAGATCCAAGTGAACCTACTGAGAAAGAGACTGAAGCCACAAACCTGCTGCTATAGCTCCGATCAAAGGTAGTAAGACAAGGTGGATGGGGTAGTTCCAGGCACCAATGATCAAAGTCACACCAAGCGGTTCTTTGATGATATAGGCATTATCCATAAAGAACATTGATCCCTTGGTTGCCTGGAAACAGATAGGTCCTGTGCTTGTTTTATCAAAAGCATTTTTTTTTCTTAATGATTAAAATAAAAATTAATATCAGTCAGGTAAATGTCAACTCTCTACGAAAGGTGATTAAACAACATCATTTGCTAGTTGCGTATTTTGTATTAATATAATGTTCTGTTGTCTCTTTTAATCCTCTACAATCTCTTTCTTGGGCCGCCTCTTGCCTTGTGGCTTGCTGTTGTCATGATGTACGCTCTAGCAGCTGAATGATTTTGTTCAATTCTTACCAGATGACCAAACTTTTTGATTCTTTGATGTGCTGTGAAATCATTTACTGGTTCCGTGCCTACAATTGCTCCTAGTTCTTCGTTGGTGACTCACTCTCTTCTTGCTTTATTGTAATTTTCGGTTTGTGTTTTTCTAAGACTGTCCATTGTCTGACACTGACAGCACACATCATCATCATGTAGCAGGTCCTTTGCAGAACGTCGATCTCATCACAGCCTGCCTGAAAGAAACTCGGTCTCTCGCCAGTTCTCCCGCCTCGTGCATTTTCACATTCAAGGAGTCACTTATATCCTGTGCACATCTTCGTGTCGATCGGCCCCTGCCCATCCTTCCTGGTACCATGCCTTCTGCTATAATTTTTTCCAATTCGTCGCGGCGCTTGATATGACCAAAATATTTCAGCTTTCGAGAAAGGATGCTGTTTATTAGCCAGTCTTTCTTGATGTTCAGATCTTTTAAGATGTCAATATTTCTCATCTTTTTTGTCCAAGATATTCTGATAATCTTTCTATAACATTTCAGCTGAAAAGCCCCTATTCTCTTTCTTAAGGACTGGGAGATAGTCCGCGACTCACATCCGTATGTTGCTACAGGAAAGATGCGTGCTCTAAACATTCTAATTTTGATCTCCTTGCTGGTGCTTAACCATAGACTTTTAAGGCTGTTAAATCTTTGCATTGCTATGGCTATCCTCCTTTTAATTTCTGTTGAACAGTCTCCATTGTTGTTTATTATAGAGCCTAGATATTCAAAGTTTGTGACATTTTCAATTTCTTCATCATTTAATGTGACAGCACATAGTTGGTACAAATAACGCATTTATAGGCAGCTTTTTGGTGTGTATTTCGATAGATATTGTGATGCTTTGCAAGTGGTGCTATATGGTCATTGATGTTTTTAGGTAGCCACAGTAATAGAAGAAACAGGCCGGGCAGCACAACCGCTGTCATTGTCACAGTCAAAAGCCATCCTCTTTTTTTCCTTTGATATCCATATCATGCATAAAATACTTTACTGATAAAATACAATTGATGTGTGAAAGATGAGTGGAAGGGACGAATGTAAGTGGGCCTGATTTGTGACCCTTTGAAAATTACGTTTGCTCGTTCGTTCCTTTAAATAATTAGGATGCCTGTGTGAGTTCCTGAACCACACTGGGAGGAAAGGGGGGGGGGGGGGGGGGAGAAGTACAAGCCATAACAGCAGAGAACAACTGACCTTTGTGGATTTCATCCACTCTCGAAGATTGTTGATGCAATCAATAGCATCGTTGAGACACAATGCTCTTTCTGATAAATCTCCTTCGATACGCGACTGAAATATAAAACACAACATATCATATAACTGCTTCCAGTCATTGGTTGGTTGTTTGTTTGTTTGTTTGTTTGTTTGTTTGTTTGATGAAAGAAATGGGCCACGTTCATTCAGCTCCTAGCAGCTTTTGGATATGATTGTATACTATTTTATTTCCTCAACAAAGTCTCTTCATAACCTCCACATTTAGCTGGGGGTATTTTTTTTTTTCATGAAATACCATCTATTCTTCACCCCTGTATATTTTCCCCATGAAATACGAACTGTTTTTCACCGATGTATTTTTTTCCCATGAAATACCATCTATTCTTCACCTCTGTATTTTTTGTAATGAAATAACCATAGATTCTTCAACTTTGTATTTCAATGAAATATCATATATTCTTCACCTCTGTATTTCTTCCGATGAAATACCCTCTATTCTTCGAATCAGTATTTTTTTCCCCATAAAATACGTTGTATTTTTCGCCTCTGTATTTTGTTCACATCAAATACAATTTATTCTTCACCTCTGTATTTTGTACCATGAAATACAATCTATTCTTCACCTCTGTATTTTGTACCATGAAATACAATCTATTTTTCACCTCTGTATTTTTTTTTTGTATCCGAGAAATACCATCTGTTATTTTATTCCACGAAATATCATCTATTCTTCACCTCGGTATTTGTTTATTTCCATAAAATACTAGATTTCTTAGCTCTGTATGTGTTTTTTTTTTTTCCATGAAGTACCACATATTCTTCTGAACATATGCAACTCGTTGACCCTCAGGTAGGTGGAAACAATTATTATTTTGTTTTACTAACCACTCTAAACAAATATTGTTTTTCCTCTTCTTTTGTCAATATCTACTTATGCGCTAGGCGTCGCAGTTCATCAGACGATCAGCAGCCGAGCCAGGGCGCGCTCGGTCGCTTGATTTGCAGTCTGATGCTGAATCCCCTTGTGCCGAAATAGGTAATTAATTAAACTTTGAAAATCAGACAATGAAACTGTAATGTTAACAATGAAACACTGACACTGAGATGTTATTTAAACATTTATAATTCGATATTAACGATGTAATGTTAACATTTATTTGCTGATACATTAATTAAACATTACAGATTAGATATTAGCAACGTAAAATTATTAATAATACAATGACTATGAGGCAATAATTAAACAATAACGATTAGATACTAGAATGATATACTGACAATAAAGCATTAACTAAACATTAAAGATTAGATCCTATAATGATACACTGACAACGAGGCATTAATTAAACATTAAAAAAAGTAGGTATTAGCATTATAATATTAGCATTATAATTTTAATAATGATACACTTTCAATGAGGCATTAATTAAACATTAAAATTAGATATTGGCAATATAATGTTTATAGTAATACACTAAATAGGCATTAATTAAACATAAAAAATAAGATATTAGCAATGTAATTTTTAATAATAATTTACTGAAAATTAGGCTTCAATTAAACATTTAAAATAATTAGATTCTGACAACAAAACAAGCTCACTTTATGACTCACTTTATGTAAATCTTTGTACAGAACTGCAGCAATCTGTGCTTCATTTTCCTGTAACAGTCTGACCAGAGCCTTCAGCTGGGCTACACGCCATTCATATGTTCGAGTCTTCCCAGAGGCAAATGATGATCTAAGATCTCTCAGAATCTGCACAACAAATAAACATTTGTTTAGTTTAAATTACGAAGTTTAAAAAACAACACCTTACAAGTTTCATCAAAGTTGTTAATGCAAAGTAAAACACAATTCGCATCCTTATTTAGAATGTGGCTCTCAAATCACAACCTGCTGTATTCAACTGAACTGAGTTAAGAACAATCATCACATCACCTGGGACATCTCTATAAGCGCTCTATCCCCATCTTCAGCAGGCAGCTGGTATCCAATCCCAGTGATACCAGTAGATGCTTGTTTAAAAAAAAACTGTCTTGGAGGGGAAAAGAATTGACCCCTTTTCTCTTAAGCATGTTGTAAATCTTGACTTGTGGTTGGGGGGTATTGGTACGACTCACCTTTTGGGGCCCTTGGACACTGATTGGCCGTTCATCGATGCGCCTTAACCTTTCACAAGAACAACCTTTTCTTACAGGGGTGTCAGAATGCATAGTCTTCTACACTATCACCGGCGATATCCTGTGTTCAAAACTAAACGATGTTACAGCCAATTTTAACGACCCCGTAACATCTACAACTGGTCCTAACTCCAACATTCTAGGGGACAGCCTCAGCCTAGGTCCCACGAGAAAGTACGTTCTACGCCCCGTGGTTTCAGACATCCTAACATTTTGCGGTGGCCCCCGAAACACTGTGTTGCTCCAGAAATGCAATGGTACACTCCTCCGCCAACGGTGACAACTCCAGTAAATTCATTTCGTTGAAGTCGAGAATGCCAGAATATACGCCGTCGCTCGAAGAACAGCGAGTAAAAGAGAACGTGTACCTGTCCGTCCGCCAACATATACACAGAAGAGGACAACCAGCCGCTTAGACTAACGCGTTTCAAGGATAAGAGGCATCAATCAACGGCCAATCACGATGTCCATAGGCCCGAAAACCATGAGTTGTACCAAAGAATGTATGCATTGCCCCTTACGCATGTTGTAAATGGTGACTTGGAGGAAAAAAAGAACTGACCCATTGCCTCTCAAGCTATGTTGTAAATGGTGACGTGGAGGAAAAAGCCGGAGTTGTTGCTCTTGTAGTCAGAAACTCCGCTCTTTCATTCTCTCTTACTCCCGCATTGCCCGGAGAGGATATCTAGTTGATGTGCTAGTGCTTGGTATCCACTCATCCATACATTTGTTGATGTGCTAGTGCTTGATATCCACTCATTTATACATTGGTCGATTTTGAACCATCCACATGGAATGCCTGAAGTATAAATTAAAAAGCACTATTTTGTTCTGTAAAAAAAAAGAAGGTGGAAAGGGGGGGGGGGGAAACCTCTGGCCCAATAAGAAGGACAGGCATAGCTGAATATTTAGCTTCGGTGTTATCTTTGCTCCTGACAGTGCTTAGCTTATGCAGATTCCACATTTAGACAGACGTCTACAGATTCGCTGCTTCGGCTATTGAGTCAAGTGCCTGGTGCAGCACTTTGAGCTGTGATATTTTTTTTTTTAATGTCGAATGCCTTACATTTGTGCGGTTGTTGTGTTTTGGTATTTAGTATGGCGGGTAGCTCTTTTACATGTGGCATGGCGGAATTCATTATGTAATAAGGAGTGTACGGATAACTGATTGTGACTTAAAATATTCTTAATAATGACTAACTGAATTTATGGTGACGATTGTTGTTTTTGCTGCACATAACAACTGCCCCATGTATATTTCTTGACTATGCGGGGACTAATTGTTTCTTCGCCAGTTTTTCAAATGGGACAGTGGTGGACATTTTATTTGATTTTCATTGGCACAGGAACAGAGCATGTGTGGGCGACCCGACTGCAAGAAAGTTGAAATCCTAATTACTACTTCAACCATAAAGTTACAACTGAATGCTATAATGAAATTTGAGTAACTGAAATACTGCTATGGGTGGGTTTAAGTCTAAGTTTGACTAGATGATAAAGAACAGCTGAAGATTCAACAATGAAATAAATAATATTTTGAAATCACCACGAGTAACTGGCAACATAAAGGCTTGAGTCCGATGTAGAACGGAGCACTTATGGGTGATTACCCTTGTGCCAAGATGTTGATCCGTCGTCTACTGAATCTAATATTAGACTGCAATGGGTGGGGCATACACAGAGAAAAGCAGATAACAGAGACAAACATGCGTACTTAATAGTGTTGATTGAAAGTAAACTGTGTGGCAGACAAAGAGGACGATAGAGAGATGATATACAGGCAAAGCTGCAAATACTTGGAGTCACCAAGTGGAAGAAGAAAGGAAATCACAGAGAGAATCAAGGTGGGTGATATCTTTCAGTGTAAGATTACACTTATAGCATTGGTATGAAGGCTATCTCGAAAGCTCAGAACGCTAAATAACATGAACAAAAACGAATACATTGTAAACATAAATATATTTACCTGTCCACATTCTGCCATGTTTCAGAAATTCGCTTTCAATTCTTAGCGAATATTACTCGTCAGAGTTTGGTTGACAGGTTCCACAAATGTATCACTAAAGCCAAGTGAA